ACATTGATTTTTCTTTGATTTTACTTTTTAACTGTTGCTATTTTTTTATTTTTAACCAGTGGTCCAATAGGATGTTGAGGAAAAAGAAATAAAAAATTAGTTTTATGTTTGTGGTGGGCCTATAATTTATTTTATTAAAAAGTATATTAAAAACCTAATTATGTAATTTTGCTTGAGACTATTTAAATATATAAGAAAAATATTTAAAATTGTGGTGCCCTTGATAAAATTCGTAGTTGTAATATAATTACTCTAGTTTTTGTAAATTAGCCTACGTTTGATGGCCACTATCTTGAAAAAAAATGAAATTTTGAATAGTAATTGGAGAATGCATCGTTCAAAAGTAGAAAAAAAATTAAATTTATGTATAAAATATTTTATTGGGTAAATGTGTAATTGAAAATAAATATAAAAATTTTAAAAAAAATTGTTTTATAGGGAGACAAAAAGGGGCTTAATAAAAGGTTAGGAGTAGGGACGGAAGGTGGATAAAAATTAAATGAGACTAAATTCCTACAAAATGAAAAGGTTAGGGAGCCAATGTGAAATTTACCCTAGTAAAATTTGGCAGGAGAGCCCCACTCTTCCCTAAAACCCTCTCCTTGCCTGTGTTTATATATAAATTTATCCAAAACCCTAGCCCCTTTCAGCAGAAAAAAGGAAGAGAAAAAGGGAAAAAGGAGAGAGCCCTACTGTTAATCCGCCGAGCCGTTTTTTTAGGAAGCAATCAGAAATCTGTAATTCCTGTGCGTAAAAATGTTTTGAAGAGGAAAAGCTGAAAATTATTTGAAGTATGCTCAACCTTCTTGAGCAATTTGTTTACATGTAATTATTGAGGCGAATCTTCTTTCTATATTTCAGGAGGCAGTGGTCGAGTAAGAACGATGTTGCTGTTGTTTGAAACGCCGGCGGGTTTTGCCCTTTTCAAAGTATTGGATGAAGGCAAGCTCTCTAAAGTTGAGGTACTGATTTGTTCAAACTCTATCTGGGTTTTTCTCTTTTCATTAATTTTGGTTTTTTAGTTATTTGATGGAGGCAACCTTATTGCTTGCAGGACTTATGGAAGGAATTTTCCACGGCTGACTCGGCTCGACAGGTGATTTCCTTGTTGCTCAATATTTTATGTTACCTCGCATATGCATGCATACGGAAACACATAAAAGAGAAATATTTTTATGTGAATATTTGTTTATGATTGTTCCAGCAGTAGTCTACAATTTACGATTCGGGGTAATGTAGGCAAATAACTTAACTTTCCAGAAAAAAAACAATACAATTTTTGGATTGTAATGATTCAATACAGAAAAAATCCTGTTTGTGATGCAATTAGTGACTGTTGTGATGCCAACAACAGGTTGTCAAGCTAAAAGCTTTTTCCAAGTTTGAGAACACATCAGAGGCTCTATCAGCAGCTACCTTATTGATAGAAAGTAAGCCTAGCAAAGGTCTTCGCAAATTCTTGCGCTCCCATTGTGAAAGCGACATTTTAGCTGTGGCTGATTCAAAACTTGGGAATGCAATTAAGGAGAAGCTGGTGAGTTGTCACCATAGACTATGAGCTTGTTACATGATTGATCAGTGATTCAGTTGTATTGCCTGCATTGGTTTCTGCCATTTAAGTTAATGATTTATTACTTGCAGCAAATTGAATGTGTTCACAACAATGCTGTCATGGAACTGATGAGAGGGGTCAGAAGTCATTTGACTGAACTCATATCTGGACTAGCTGCCCAAGATTTGGCTCCAATGAGTTTGGGTTTATCTCACAGCCTTTCAAGATACAAGTTAAAATTCAGCCCAGATAAGGTGAATTGCTATATTCCAACACGATCAAATTTTTCTACTATTGTTTGTGGAAAGTATAAACAATGGATTGGGCAATATACTATCTAAGACATGTTATTGAAACTGTGTTAGAGAACGATACTCTGTCTAGAGAATAAAACCTGAAAATACTCCCCAGGATTTTCACATTAATCTGTAAATGTCATGGAATACAAAGGTGCGGAGTCATGGTACTAGGAGTATTATAATTGATTACACGATACTTGTTGAGTTGGTAAATATCTGTCAATAATATGCTGTTTTTTTAATAACAAAATATTTTGCTATTGATCTTTAGGTAAATCTTACATGATCTTATAACCGTTTACTTTTCTTCGTGAAGAAATGAAGTTAGCGCCTTAATGAGAAACTTTTGGCAACATGTTTTCTGTTTTAAGGGGAAAAATGTGAATTTTCTGATTTGAAAAAGGAAAGAGTACTCAGTATAGTTCTCCAACTTCATAAAAAATTATGTGAAGTTTGATGATATCATTGACCGTCAGTATCCATTCCTCTGATGGGTCGTTATGTGAAGTCATAATTGATTATGTGGTTGCTTTCACCTGTCATGAATCTAATTAACAGTTTCTTTCCTTTTGTAATTGGTTGTGTGCTTCTCATTTTATTTGTGTGTGTGCCAGACAATGTTTAATTTTCCATCAATTTTCTTTTGGTTAGTGGAAGAGTTAATAATCAAAATCCAAAATGAACAAGGCCTCAAGTTACTTGAATCTTACTTATTCTCTCAAATCTTTTGCTGTTAATATATAAGGCTCTTCTTTGTTTTCAAACTAGGTTGATACAATGATCATACAAGCCATTAGCTTGTTGGATGACCTTGACAAAGAGCTGAACACATATGCAATGAGAGTAAGGGAATGGTATGGTTGGCATTTTCCAGAACTTGCAAATATTGTACAAGACAATATCCTTTATGCCAAGACGGTGAAGTTGATGGGTAACCGTACAAATGCTGCGAAACTTGATTTCTCTGAGGTAGGGATTTAACTTCTGCATGATCCCCTCATCTACTCCAGCTATAAAAATAGACACGCTCGAAAATAGTGTGATAGCTCGGAATATGATTCTGTTGATGCTATGGGAGCCCTAGACTTGGAATATGATTCTGTGGGTGCTTATATGTGTTGTTAAATTGTTTATAGATACTTCCAGAAGAGGTCGAGGCTGAACTAAAAGAGGCAGCCATGATTTCTATGGGAACCGAAGTTAGTGACCTTGATTTGGAAAATATCAAAGATTTGTGCTACCAAGTTCTTTCACTGGCAGAATATAGAGCTCAACTGTTTGATTATTTAAAAAGCAGGATGAACACCATTGCTCCAAATCTCACTGCTCTTGTTGGAGAACTTGTTGGTGCTCGCCTCATCGCTCATGGAGGCAGTTTGTTGAATCTTGCTAAGCAACCTGGAAGTACAGTTCAGATACTTGGTGCAGAAAAGGCTCTTTTTAGAGCTCTGAAAACAAAGCACGCAACTCCTAAATATGGTCTTATATACCATGCATCTTTAATTGGTCAAGCAGCACCAAAACACAAGGGTAAAATTTCTCGATCTCTTGCTGCCAAAAGTGCGTTGGCTATTCGATGTGATGCTCTTGGAGATGGCCAAGATAATTCTATGGGAATGGAAAATAGATTAA